ACTTGAGCTCAGATATGAGCCAGAAACTGTAATTAATTAAGTGATTCCCCCTCTCTCCCTTCTGTTTTCTTATACATACAGGTATCAGGACAGCTCTGTATGACTACTGGAGATAGCTTTTGTTATTTTGCTATATAAAATATTGCAGCCTATAAATGAAGTTTTATTAGAACAGTCAAATTCTTACTGAAAGTTTGAGAGCTTCAAAACTTTGGAGAAATCTCAAAATTCATGAGCAAAATGATTCTTTTATTTGCAAAGATTGAGGTTATTGCTGTACTAAACATTATCCTATTTTGCTCTCAAAGCTGATGGTCAATTATTTTGGTCTTTTAATTTCAAAACACAACAATTTTAGTCGTTAAATTACTTTTCCACCTAAAATTTGCTTACTCAATTCTAGATTCAACTCATGTGATTTGAATACATTCCCACGCTGATACGTTAGTATGAATTTTCATGTTATGAGCCAAAATAGAAAAAAAATTAAAATCTAGGGATCAAAGGGGATATTTTGAAAGTTTGTAGACCGAAATGAGAATTAAACCAAATTACTATTACGAGTCATGTGGATAGCTCCCAAAAACAATCGGAAGGAAAATAGGAGAGAACTTTGTAGAAAATGGTTATGCATACATGTTACTATTTGTTAAATTATTTTGGGAACAGTTCACAAATTATGATGATTCTATTATCAGAAAGCTATAATTATGAGAACTCCAAAAACTTCTTTACCATAAAAAAAAAATAATAATAAAATCTTTATCACATGATGGTGATGGGCCATGGGCCCTTTTTATGTCTGGTAGAGATGTCTCCTCAATTTCCTCACTGTCCAACCAAATGATTTCTTCTTTTTTCATTACATGGGAATGCAAGAAAAGGAATCATGCTCCTATTCATCAAATAATTATTTCCATTTCCTTTGTTGAAAATAATTGATTGAAAAGTCTAGTCATCGAAATAACGAAAAATAGTTATTTGGTGTGTCAACAAAAGTTGTCGAATCATCAACCTTCTAAAAGTTTATTGTATAAATATATATGGGACTTAGTTGAATGCAAATAGAGACTAGTTTGAATGCAAACCTGACTATTAAGTAAACATAACCGATATCAACAATCATGATTAAAAAACAGGAGACGGGGAATTGGGTTATTCAACGACGGGGTAGATTGTAGAAAAATTTAAAGAAAAAGAAAAGAAAAAAGGAATTTTTTTTTTTTTAGTAAAGATAGAAAAGAAAAAGAGTGATAAAAAGTGGTGTATAGTACATGAAGGTACTAATTTGGAGGGATGAAAAAAGAGACAAAATAGGGCACATCACCCACTAGACACAACACAACACCATAACCCACTTTTTTTTCTTTTTTTTTTTTAATTTATTTTTCTTTGAACCCAATCTTTTTTTAAAACCCACACCACAACCAAACAACACCCTTCCACCTTATATACCACATAATTCAAGTTCTAAGTTTTTGGATTTTGGCTTCTCTCTCATATGATTGATTTCTTTTTCTTTCCACGTATTCATGTTGCTTAAAGAAAATGGAAGAAGTATCTTGGAGATGGTGATGTTTTAGGGTCAAATTGGTTTCGTCTCAAAACTTTTAGAGTTATCTTGAAGAAGTATCTCAGAGATGGTCGTTCATGAACTTTCGATTTTGTATTTAATGAATCTTTCTACTAGATTTCTAAATTTTTAATTTTGTATCTAATATGTCAATGAATAATGTCTAATAAATAAGAGATTCTGGAATTCAATAGTTTATTAGATATTTTTTAAATTTTGACATCATCTACTAAACACATCTTAAAAGTTTAAGTCTCCTTTGTTAATGAATTTTTAACATGACTACGTTTAGTAATTTTTTTTTTCATTTCTGGAAAAAAAAAGAGAAATAGAAAGATTAAGTTTTAATTAAATATTTATCTTTTAATTATGCGTTTTAAAAATAAAAAAATGATAAAATAATTTTTCAATCTACATTTTGGGAAAAAAAAAAAACAAGAAACAAAAAATTTGATATTGCGGTTTTCAAATTTTTCTACAAAATTTTGAAAATATTTTTTAAAAATAAGAAATGAAAATAAATAACAATTACCAAAAACACTTAAATGAAAAAACAAAAAAACAAAAATGTTACTAGATTAGAACCATTTTCCAAATGATTAATATATCATTTTAAAATTTAAGGGGCCAAAACAAATTATTATTTATTAAACCACCTTGAGGTAAAAACATGGCCTTTCCTACTTCATGCCAATGGATATTGCCATTTGCTATTTTGCTTTTTAAGTTGTCCAAATAACTCAAAAGTTGCTACAATATTGGGCCTTCTTCTCCAACCATCTAATCTTTGATCAACTCAATTTCCACTAAAAATCAAGCCAAATCCAGTGCACAAAGGCAATCATTCCCTGTATTAAGTACAAAAAGGTAGGAAAAATAGCTTTCTTTTCCTTTTTAGATTTTTCATCAAGAAAATGAAGTTACTGAACTCTGTTTATTCAATATGAACACTCTTGAGGTAAGGTTTTAATTCATTAAATGCAAAATTCTCTTCTGGTAGCTAACTGAAGCTGCTTCATAGATACAAGTTTGATCATTCATTGTTCTCTTCTTCACTTTTCTCATGGGTTTTAGATTTTATCACAACCAACCACAGCAAATGTAAGGGGAGGATGGCATTCGTCCCGTCTGCCGAATATGTTCGGCCTGGGCTGCTGTTCTTTCTGCCTCCTGCTTCTTTCGACACTCGGCCGCTGCCCGTTTCTCATCTGACTTTTGCCTTGTCATTGCAATCTTCTTCATCATCTTCACTTCAGCTTGAGCTCTCATTTGTTCAACTTGGGCCTAAATTGTGTCAAACTTTAGATCAGTACTAATATGGTTGCCATGTCTTTGGCAGTGACAATCTTTCATTTTTTATGACATGGGATCTCTTCAGTCTATCCCTCACTTCACTTATTGAGATACTAATAATTGATTTATAGACATCAATACTTAATCTGAATCTTTGAAAGAAATCTAAAATACCTCTACTCTCCGCATTTCGGCTTCTAGCTTCGTTTTCTGCTGGCTTTCCCATGCTTGGATTTGGATCTCTTCGCGTTTAAATCTGCACAGTGTTTAAAATGATCTCATCTAATTAGAACAAAAACTCATCAGATCAGAACTCCTGGTTCTTAAAACGTAATAATGGTAAGCTCAATCAATCTGTAACTTGTAACTACAAGTATGTGGATTATAGGGGGGGAAAAGACCTTGCCATATGTTTAGACTTTTCAACTTCCTCCCACACAGCTGCACGCTTTTCAAACTCCGCCCGCTCGAGTGCCTCCTTTGCAGCATTTTCAGCATTCTGTCGTTTCTTTTCTGGCTCATCCTTACTTGCCCAGGCAGCAATATTTGTCTTGCCAAGCTGCATACCGAGAGCTAGAATCTCCCTTCTTGTCTTGAGCTTTATTTCGTCTTCTGATAGTTCCTTTTTGCCATTTTCTGCTGAATGCTGTAACCCTGAAGCAAATTGCTCTGTAGGAGTTGGAGCTGGTGTATCTCTCCGAGGTGTGGAGGGGATTGAAGACGTTGGGCTGCGAAGCGGAGATGCCCCGACAGGAGTAGCCGTTCTTGAAGGCTCTTGGCTAGGGACTGGGGTCATTTCTGTTCCCATATCTCTCATTGAAACTGCTCTAACTGCAGGGATGCCTGAAGAATAACCATTAAATTCATAAAACAAGCAAAATAGAGGATTACAACAAATCCAAACATAGAACATAATTGAGGAAATTACTAAATTAGAGCCTGTCTCTTATACCTGTAGAATCTTCTTTACTAGCTTTTGAGGATGGCTTGTGATCCACTTCTTTCAAGTCCTTAATTTGAGAACATGGATCAATCAACACATTATCTGCGTAGGAGTATGTTCCACCAGGCACAAAAGAGAACTTCTCAGGCCCCATCTGCATTCCAGGTTGACAGAAATCCACCTGCTTCGCATCCACCGCTCTACCAATTGACGACCGAAGCTCAGAGTTCAATTCTGGAGCAACCCTCACCATATTTGTCACTGCCATTCTATTTCCTTGGTTTTGCGGAACGTTCTTCTTAGGATAATTTGCAGTCAGTCCGTTATTTTGACGATTCATTATCCATTTCTCGGCATCGTTCCACTTTGACGACATTGGTCTTAAGTGCGACCTCGAAATGGAACTGTGTACAGACCTCTCCCCCTTATGGAACTCAAAACTGGATGAACTTGCATTACTGTCATAATCCAGATTTTCATCTTCCATCAATTTTGAAGGGTGAACCGTGCTTGAATTACAACTATCGCCTTTCAGACATAGCTGCATTCTATTTCGAACCGCTTCACCATTCTCCTTTGAGAGAAACTCTTTTGGCAGACCCGAAGATCGATCACTGTGTTTTGGGTCTGAAACTGACCGATCCAAAACCTTTTCGGAGGGAACTTCCAAGCAGGAAGATGTCACTGCATGAAATGTCTCTCTACATCAGTAAAAACATAGACACAAAACATCTTTTCTTCCACATAAACAGATGACAATGAAACAAGTTCAAGCTTCACCTTCAGACACAAATGAGATTCAATAGAAGAGTGTTGCGATGTGCAACTTGTATTACAATTTTGCAGAAAAAGGAACAGAAATGAGATGGAAAGGCCAAAGGGGGAAGGAGAGAGAGTGTGAGACAGAACACAGACCTTCCTCATCAAAGTTACCACTCTCTGTGGCCAATAAACTGTTTCTGACAAACTCAGAATCCTCAAGCTTAGAAGGAGAAGTTCTTGAAGAGTTGCTGTTTGATCCATCCTTTTTCTTATGGTGATGAGGCCCCATGAGCTTCATCCTCAGTTTACTGGGAGAAATTATACCTGTCTGAAACAGAGAAGAACCCCCATGAAACTCTTCCAATACAAAAAACAACTGAAAAAGGAAGAGAACAGAACATTCTGTTCTGTCTTGAGTAGTGGAATGGAACTGACCCATCACTCGCAATCAAAACTGAACTCAACACTACAAACAAGTGATACTTCACTGATTCACTCTACAAACTACAAACCCAGATCAAGAAACAACATGCTCATCTTTCAACGCCTATGAGAGTTCTTCCCAAACATATTCAAACAAACATAACAGAACCCACAGTAGTTTCACACTTTCAGTAATAAAGTTAAACAACAGCACAATTGGAACCCAGAAGAATCAGAACAATGCAACCCAATAACCAAAGAAAAGAAAGAAAGAAGATGAAGAATGAACTTGGGTCTCCCCAATTCCCTTCCTGATAGGGAAAAATAAACACGCACCTGAACTTTGTGAATCCTCTCGTACTCCATTAGAGCTCTCTCTCTCTCTCGTTAGATGCGATTCTGCAGAATGGCTGAAGAGAGAGAGAGAGGAAGAAATAAAGAAGATGGCCGGTGGAAGAAGAAGACCCAGGAGTCAATTTCAGGGCATATGAAAAACCGACAAAGGGGTGGGGAAGGAAGAGGGCAGTTTTTTTCTACTGGCTTATGAACAAAATCCGAGTCGCCTGCAGAACCCACCTCCGATTTCTCCACGTCAATCGCCGGACCCACCAAACGCCGGCCCCAGATGAGGTGGCGAGATCAGAACGAGCCACTGGATCCACACCAGGAGTCGGCGATCAAATCGCCATTGACGAGCGAGGAAAGGGGGGAAATGGGTGAAGACTGAGAGGGATTTTGAAATTAGTAGGTGGGAAGGGAAGAAGACAAAGAGGGGAAAAAGAAAATTATGGGAAATGATTAAAGAAGGCAGGAACAGTGGAAATGATGGGAAAAGAGAGAGGGAAAAACAGAAAAGAGAGAAAAAAGGAAGAAAGTAGAATTTCAATTTTCCTCTGCATAGAAACTGTTGAGAGAAGTAATGGGTCATTCATTTTCATCATCCATCGCTCACTTTGAAGTTTAAATCTTCTTCTTTTTTTGCCTTCCTTTCCGAACACACCTTTCAATCTCAACAACTCATTTCTGACCCATTTTTGGTTCTTCTTCCTTCCATGAATGATTTCTTAGCTTTTATTATATCTCTTCCCAATCCCCACTGCATGTTTATAGTTAAATCTTGGAGCAAAGTTAACAACTAATCACGGGTGTTTGTTTCTTCTTCTTCTTCTTCTTCTTCTTCTTCTTCTTCTTCTTCTTTCCATTAATGGGGCAATAGAAATCAACCCAAATCTATAAATTTAATTTTCAAAGAGATTCAGATGACCATAAATATAATTAAAATTATGTGAAATGCTTCATTTATATTTGGTGGGTTTGGGTGTCCGTACAGCAGATATCACTTATCAGAGAGTCAGAAGAAGGGGTACTTTGGGATGGGGAATGGGAATTTAGTAACATTTTCATATCTTCTCGAGTTGTTAATTCAAAGATATTCAAAAAGTTTATTTTTAACTCAGAAAAATTGTTTCTTTTTTAATTTCTAAAGTTTTCATTGTTTATTAATTGAGAGATATATTATTAATTTAAACATATTTTAATTAAAAGACTAGTTTTTGAAATTAAAGCATCTTCAAAATTTTGATAAAGATAAACATCTTTAAAACTTTGTTTAGAAAATCATCTTTGAAACTAAATCTTTTTTCAATATATTATGAAAGAGATGTATCTTTTAAACATAGTTTTTAGTTAATTAATATAAATTAATAAGTTATTGAGATTCAATCTACAAAATAATTAAATATTACAAGATTAATTTTAAAAACGCTCAACTTAGAGAAAAGGAGTAACCAAAAGGCATCTAACATCATCAAAACAACCAATAATTGCAAAAAAGACAAAAAAAATACTTACAATTTTGACCGGAAAATTTAACTCATGGAGGTAAAATTTAAATTTGGCATTTAATGAAATAAAAGTAATTCATGAATTAAATAGATGGCTAAAATAAAATTTTTCTTGCTCACAAGTTAAAAGTAACATATTTCCCACCATAACTATAACTATAAGTTCGTTGGTTCAAATATTAACTCTTACAAAACATACACATTTACACTATTAAAAAAAACAGCATATCTATATTCTGAATAATATTATAAATTTTTGTAAGAAAATAATATGATAAATTAAACGAGGAGAAATTAAATACCGCTAATCTCGCCATTATCCCCGCTTTAATTAAATAATCTCCGAGTTTCAACTTTCAACACAATAAATGGGTGGGGGAGTTTGAATTGAGCGGCGAGGAAATGGCGATTATTAGAAAGCGACGATTTTTTGGAAGTGGGGAAAGTTAGGGAAAAGTGATGAAGTCAGCAGTCAAAGATACTTTTTTTAAGGGAAAAAAGCACATTCACCC